GGCAGAGGATAGCATGAGGGGTCAGATACGTACTGGAGCGGTACAGAGATCCGATCATTTTACCATCATCTTTAGCGATGTATCGCATATTCCACTTGAGGTCGGGTTTGAGTTTTAGGTCCAATATTCTCTTAAGGCACGGTGCCTCCTCAAAGGGGCATTCATTCATCGTGACTGACGGTAGTTCGGGCTCTAATCGGCGGTGATAGAATGTAACTAGTTTGGTTTTCGAGGCATTGAATGTAACCAGACAGTTTTTTTGCAAATGGGACGTTAGTGTTAGATCAGAAGGGAGGTCAGCTGCCAATCACTGATCGTCAAGAGTTTTAGAAGTGCGCCTGTATATCATTGTATCATCGGCATAGATGACCAGAGTATATTCTTAGGTAGATCATTTATGTAAATCGGAAAGAGGGTTGGTCAGAGAAATGACCGCTAGGGGACGCCTGCGCTAATCGCCAGGGATCTACTTGTTAGGAAGGATTTTATAACTGAGAAAACCCTTCCAGTGATTCCATAGCTAGAGAGCATGTATAGCAAGACTTTGTGTCACACCTTGTCGAAAGCTTTCGAGATATCTAATGCTATGGTCAACAAGGTGTGTGCATAGTCAAGAGGTTTACTATGTCAGGATTGAGCTGATCGAAACCCATAATACTCGTCGCGCAGAAGCTTGTTCCTATCTAGGTGCACAGCGACCTTGATTAAAGCCTCAAAAAGTTTACTGATGATACTGAGAAGACTGATGGGTCTATACTAAGAGAGGAAGTTGCTCATTTGCGTTATTGAAGACCGGGCATACGCTTGCCTCCTTCCACAAGGTTGGGAAGGATTTCTACTTCAAGCAGAGGTTAAATAACTTCTCTAGGATCGGGGATAATTCTGGGCTGATATTCTAAAGGACAACCACTGGAATTTTGTCTGGGACAGTGGCTTTCTTAGTGTCAAGGCCTTTGATAATTTTAGAGACTTCTCCTACTGAAATGAATATATTATTGAGATTGTACTCAGTGAGACGTAGGAAATTGGGTAGGAGATAGCCTTTGTCATCTAACGTTGAGTTTGATGGAGGTGAAGAGCTTCGTCTGTCGAGGAAGATATGACTTCGGGGTCATTTATAATAGTTGGCACAGCCGCTTTGCCTCTATTCATAACTTGGTTAGTGATCTTTAAGAATTCGTGAAATCTCTTTTTCCATCCTTGGCCTGGTCAGCTTGCGCGTAGCTGTACTTTGCGTTTTTCAGAAATCTCTTATGGCGATTGCAGGCGGTTCTAAATGAAGTAAGGGCCAGACTACACCGTTCCTTACGATAGATATTGAAGTAGTGGTTCCGGTAAGCTATGGATGCAGAACATTCAAGAATGAACCAGGGCTGACAGAAAGTTGGAACGTAGATCACTTATATTGGTATAAGAGATGGTATAACTGGCGTCTGCCTTTTCTAGGTTGAGTTTGCTAGTTTTATTGTTTTCAATGTATATATATATATATATATATATATATATATATATATATAAAGATTAGTTTCTTTACACTTCATATATAAGTGAATAATGTACTTTGTGACAAAATGAAAATTTCAAAAGATGCAGTATAAAATATATTCGTGATATCAGGAGAATGTATGACATTTTGTTGATTGTTAAATAAAGATATGTATATGTACGTGAGTGTGGGGACGTAAAACCGAGTTAAATTCCTCGGTATCGATGTTCTACTCATTGTCACGTGATGTTGTTTGCTTGAAGACTTGCTGCCAGCGTCTTATCTACCCAATTCCATAACAATCTTAAATACCAATCTGTGTTATCAGACGTAAAATGTCAACGCGTGCGACACTAATGACGTCAGTCCCTTCACTCGATCTAACATTGTTGGACCACAATATAAAGTCAACATCAGTTATCTTTTGGTTGTTTCGTTGGACGGGTGGGGCAAGCTTGTGATGGTCAGTTTTTATCACATAATACCGTAGTATATCAGCTACTTTAGGTTAAAAAAAACTGAAGCCTAATATTCCTTATATTATTCTCTTCTGCCTGATTCTTGTTTAATAATAGCTTACGGTCACATTACATTGAAACACCAGTTCAAATACGATCAACGAAATTAAGCAAAGCTGAGCCTAGACAGTAACTTGATGGAGGAATAGTTGGGAATACTAGGTGCTGTAAGCTTGGATGTGCGGGTGATATTATGGATAATGGCTCGAAATTGTTACTCGAAGAGCTGAGTTCCAATTTCCGTTAGGTTCGTAGCGAGTGAAAAATGAAAAAAATAATTCTATTTCTTTTTGCTATGGCCAAACATTTAGGCTAGCCATAACTAGAAAAATATTTTATGTGGCAGAATCAGATAAACTTCATGGAATGTTGAAAGAATCCGTTGAATTTCTGGGAATATGGTGACCTTCCCAGTGTTTTATGCCTTCAGTTATTACTTCTGTGACAGGCAAGCAGTGAAATGTAATTTTATGTTAATGTTATGTCCCTTCATGACGTTGGTGATTATGGCTCACAACAGATTTCCTCTATTATTTTTGAATTATCAAAAATTCTTGGGAAATATAATGGAATAGCTTCATTCTTTATGGTTTTGAATTCAGAGTTGTCTTTCTCCGTTTCTAGTTACCATCCAAAGTCTACCCTACTATTTAACTCATAGTTAGGGAAGAATAAATGAAAGTAACAGACGAGGATGAAACTTGAATCGGTTCGTCGATTTCAATTTACGCGCTGGTAATAAGTACGTCTGTATAAATCGTAGAATAAAATTGCCATCTACAAACAGTTTCAATTATAAAATATAACTTTCGTCAATGATATGCAGAGCTTTTATTTTTAATTTTACTTGTTTCTCCCTTCATCCAAATTCGAAACCCAGTTTTCTCCGTTAATGTGTTTTCATGCGTCGACAAACATGGAAGTATGTTAGTCTAGATACCTTTTCCATGAATGTATCACTGAATTGATACACATACTTATCTGTTAAATCAGTGTGTTAAATTTCAAAAAAAAAAAAAACGTTAGTAAGTGATAATCATGCATCGAAACAATATTTCATACGCTTCCGACAAGGACAGATTGTAAGCTTTAAATAGAATTCTATCGACCTGTATCCAGTTCCGTCTAATGTAAATCCTGTTCAATCACCACAAAAAAACATGGATCTCGTTGGTGAACATATTCCTGTAAAATAGCCAACCACCTTGATGCACGCTAAATAAAGATAAATATTGCATCCGTTTCAAGTAAATATCTTTCGGTTTCAATTAAGGATTTGGAAAATGCCTTCACTGTAAAATAAACTTTCCATTCGCATCCAGTGTGGAAAATGAGAACGTGATACTTGCAAGAAGATCATGCAGCCATTTTAAAAAAAAATTTTTTTTATATTTTTTTAATATTTTTTTTTTTTGTATTTCGCCTGTAAACGATAACTTTCTGCATTCTAAAGAGTCATTAAAACACTTTAATTTTCTGATTTTTATCCTAATTTAAAACAATTCAAAATAGAAATACTCAACTGTTATGTAATATCAATTCTCCAGTGAATCCTGTACAATTAATTTATTCACAGATGAAGAGGAAACTTGAAACAACAGAGATGTAATTCTACAGGAGGATGCTGAGAATACATGTGAACAACGAGAAAGTTTTATGGAAAATGAGGACGAAAGGAACACTTTGGGATAAAAAAGAGTTGAAATTTCTAGGATATATAATAAAGAAAGAAAGCTTGGAGAATTTGATACTCACAGGATATATTGAATGCAAGAGGAAAACATTAAGTAAACCACTAAAGAAGCAAAACAAGGACTGAGAGGGATAGTAAGGAGACAAAAATTGTTTAGTGTTACAAAGGATTGGAAGTTTTGGATATTCATGATCAATCACGTCCTGAAGAGTTACGACACATAAAAGAAGACCATCATCTAATACGGTAATGATAATGGTGAAATTAATTCGGTTTTAGTTGATCTAACAATAAGTTGTTTTTTTTAAGTCCATTAAATGTTATAGCTCTTTCTAATATTAATGGGAGTTTCCTTTCTAAAGGTCTCAAAGTTTACTTTGTTTGTTTGTGTATGTGTCCTCGAAACCCTGAAAGTTAATTATATATATGAAATTAGTTGTCTGTACTTGTGCTTGAGTGATTATGGGCAGGATCATTACTTTCATATTTTCACAATTTTGGAAACTCTCGAGGAAGGAGGTCCTGACATTCAGTTTGACCAAGTAGCCACCATCCAATACTTGACAGATTTTCATTTTTTGTTAATAATATCTAGCATCGGTCTTTCAGTATTGAAAAAGCGCCCCCACCGTCGAATGCTTTTTACAGTTGTGGTAGTTATCATAGAAGTAATTGCTGTAGCAATTGTAATAGTAGTAGTTGTTTGTTTTTGAGCTTTTAGTTTAATGGAATCCCTTACCGGGTCACTGCGGCATGGTAGTAAGTGTATGCATTCTCTTCGAACAAATTCTTATTTTATGTGATAAGTGGTACGTAACATACACACTGTTTACATTTTCTTTACATTGATAATATACTCCTGAGATGAACAATTAAAAACGCAGTGCATTTATTTTTTTCTCTTTTAAACAGGAGCTACCAGGGATTCTGTTAATGTTCTTGCTTTTTGATCGTCCCAAGACACCAATTATTATACGTATAACAATAGTGTTAATTTGTCACATTGTTTCAGTTTCAAAATCATTATTTTTCATATTCTTTATCAGGTGTATTTTAATCTGATATATATCAACAAACAAAATGTTTGTAGCTTTTAATAGCTGTGTTTGGTCTAGTGGCTTTTATATGTCTGTCAGTATGAATGATAAAGTTCCAAAGAATAGTGACTACAGGACCTTTTATGATTGGTTCAACAAGGGTTGACATTTTTGACATTTTGTGAATAAAATAATCAAACACACACACAATACATACATATATATATATATATATATATATATGAAAAGAACTTTGGAGAGAGAGTTCAAGAGAACGTGAAACCGCCCAGGGGTAAACGGGTGGGACCGCTCACAGCGATCGCGGGGGGACTCAGTCCGGTATTTAGCCTTGGATGGAGCTTACCACCCAATTTGGGCTGCGTTCCTAAGCAACCCGACTCTCGGATCGAAGGCCGACGCTCGCCGTCCGCACCGAATGGGCCTGGCACCCGCCGCGGGCGGCCCCGATCGAGGGAACTCCGAACTACGCGAGACGAAAACGAGCGGCTGCCTTCGACCCATGCGCCACATGTCCCGAAGCCTTTTACTTGCGACGGGATTCGGCGTTGGGCTTCTCCCGGTTCACTACATGTTTGTCCCCATGCTGGGCATTTTAGCCGGCGGAATCCAGTTCCTGAGGTGCCGTGCTGGTGGGGACCAGTGATCGCGGTGAGCGGTCCCACCCGTTTACCCCTGGGCGGTTTCACGTTCTCTTGAACTCTCTCTCCAAAGTTCTTTTCAATATATATATATATGTATATAGCAAGTATATTATATTTATTTATTATATATATTTTTATGAGTATGTGTACAATCGCCTAAGGTGACGCACTGATATTCGTTGAAACATGATAGCAATCGTGTAGCGATTTTTAACATGTTTTGTTTTTAATATCCTAAAATAAATAATATATATATGTGTGTATGTGTGTGTGTTTGTGTGTCTGTGTGTGTAAAGAGAGAGAGAGAAGCAGACATAGAGAGAAGGGAGGCCGGGAGACGAGAAATAATAACAAAATCGGTATGCTGAAAAGGTTGCTAAAGTACATGGAAAGTCATTCCATTGATATCTCGCATTTTTTCCCATACTGACACCGTTGTTTGGCATATACTGAATCTCCACTTCTTTTATAACGTTTAAATATCACATGCCACAAGGAACGTCGGTATTTCTGGCAATAATTCGTTCCACAAACTAATTATTTACCCTCTGTGATGGATTCCTCCCTGGAATTTACTTTCCCACATTAGCGTTTCTATTTATCTTGTCGCATAAAGTCAATCATCACCTTCAATTTATACGTCTTCAACTGAATCGAAGTTGGAGAATAAATGGCGATTTGAATTGTTAATGTTGCATGCAGTAGACATTGATAAAGGAAAGTTTCAAGTGTCTGCTCGCTAATGTATAATCAAACGTCAGTCTTCTATAATGCAAGATTCTCTCGAAATCAGAGAATTAACTCACTCTCGGGGAGTAAGATTCCTTCATTCTTAAAGGAACTGTGATTATGAATGAGACCGTCTTTGACAAGAGGATTCTGTCATTCAAAATAACACATTGTGAGACTGCTTAGGAACCGTCTTATTAGAAATGTTGATTATGTAATGGAACTTGTCAGCGGAGAACACACGATGAGTTCAGAATGTTGCTACCATACATAATAGGTTTTTTCAGTATTAAAGAAATATATGCAAATAATATATAAATAGCCATTTATAAACTTATCTGCGTAAATATCTAATCGTATATAAAATCAATATACATGGGCAAAATGTATGTGAGTATGTATGAAAAATATATATATATATATATATATATATATATATATATATATATTGAACAGTCAATGTATGACCGATAATATCGAGCGAGTATACGTTCCGGTAGCGATGTTGGAAATTTCGCTTCTACCATCACCGAATGACTTTCTTTTGGCTAATATTAAATACAGAAGTAGCGCTGCTCTCTCTAATTATTTCTGGCAATGGAAAAATACCGGCAACTTGATTATAACAAGCGCAAAATCGTATAACGGTAAAAGAAATAAAATGTAACCTATGTCTGGTTGAAAAATTGATTAACACTTCAATAACCCGGGATTATTAAACAAGAGAAATGAATTGATAGTTAATAATATCTACTTGAATACGTAGATCCAGATTAATTCTTAAACACGGTTTAGTTTTTTGTATATGTTACGTTTTATTATATATTATAATTTATTGTTAATAATTACTATGTAATTTTATTTTTAATATTATTATTTTTACTAACATTAAGTAAGCTCCCTTTAATTAAATTACTGGTGATCCACTATTCTAAAATTAGATAAAAATACTAATTATAAATAAATACAAATCTTTTAAGGTCATATGCTAATCCCGGTTATTTTAATTGCCAAATATAATGTATTAAGAAATATATTTTTTAAGATAATTTTAAAAAAATATTTAAGAGGATATCATTTTTAAAAACTATAATCCTAGTATATATACTTAACTACGCCAGCATTGCGGTAAAAAAAGATATTATTTTGGATTCAATTTACGTAACGGTCGGTCTATACACAACACCCGCGTTTTGCTTGAAAACCCGAGTCGTGCGAATAGTGAGGAATAATATGTATATACTTAATATGTTTGTTGTATTACATCGAACACTGTTTTAACACCATCACTTTATGTGCAATTTACACACACACACACACACACACATATATATATATAATTACTAATAATTGAAATAAAATAGTTCACTTAGTTTTTATCAATCTCTGGTCAGAGTTTCATGGATGAAATTATCCAATTCTAACCAGATTTTATTGTTAACTGAGTTTATTTTCAAATCATATTTCTATAAGAAAATTATATTATTTTTATGATGGCGTTGTCACTGGATTGTTATTTGTCAAGCGGCAACATAACTACAGTGAAAGCAAATTACATCACGAGGAAACTTGTTCAAATTTTCAATGAGTCTTTCTGCAAGTAGAGTAAAGTTCCATAAAGTTTGGGATGGCACAATCATCGCACTAGTTCATAAAAAAATGAAACCCAAAAGATTTATTCCTCTATTCGTCTGGATATGCAGGAATTTTTAGCAAATGAACTACCAACTGAACCACAAGTACATTAGAAGAAAATCAAACGAACCATTTCCAGTATCTATCTATATTTCTGAGATGAGGTATTATCTACATTATTTACATTATTCGGACTATTGTCCTCATTTTTGTTGCCAACATTTCGGCCGATGTACGCTCCAGCCTTCTTCAGGTGGTTGGAATGTCGAACTGAACCCTTTATTTCGCTCGTTGGGATAGACTGTTCTAGTTCCACGTGCCATGTCTTATTGATGTCACTTATCAGTTATCTCTTGTTAATCCCCCTTTTCAATGGTAACAGTAAAAATTGCAATATGAGCACTGGTAAAAAAATGATTGCTGAAGACATTAAGTCCCAGAAATTCATACACAAATATCCTTAAGGACACATGGCACAGTGGATAAAGGCGTTATTTAGATCCAGTGACTGGATCCAAAGATTTACTAAATACCCTAAAATTAATTCTAGCTTATCCGATTACATGGAAGAAATTCATAATGTTCTACAAGCTCACCCAAATCATAAGTGTATATACACTGATGGTTCTAAAATCTTGGACAGAGTTGGATGCTTTGCTATCGTTAACAACATAAAAATGCAGAAAATATTGCCCGATAGTGCCTCAATCTTCAGTGCAGAAGCCTTAGCCATACACTTGGCTTTAGATATTATAGAATCCAGTGGTTCAGATAGATTCATCATCTTCTCAGATTCACTATCTATACTCACAGCTCTGAAGTGTAAAAACATGGAAAGCCCTTAATGAATAATTAAATAGAATTGTCTCTGTTTATAAGAAAAAAGATGCTGTCATAATCCTATGCTGGATATTGAGCCATATTGTCATACAAGGAAATGGAAAAGCCGTAAAAATGGCGAATGAATCACTAAAAATGGCTCTCTCAAATGTAAAGGTGCCACACACTGACTTCTGACCCACCATAAACAGGACCTTTTAAAGAAAAATGGCATCAATTATGGAACAACTGTGTAAACAATAAACTTCTCAACATTCAACCAATCATCAGTGAAAGACAGTCAAGTAACAAAAAGATAAGAGGGGAGGTGGTTCTAACCAAACTCCGTATAGGACACATGTACATAATCCAACAACAACTAAAAAATGAGGAACCACCAATATGTGTCCCATGCAAGGAACAATATATCGTCAGACATTCTGCTAAATTGCTGTAATTTCCAGTAAACTCAAAACAAACTCTAAAAATCGGAAAACAGCGATCCAAGTAACATCATAAATTTGATTACAGAAATTGGGTTCTACGGGAAAACATTAAAAAGAACTGTTAACCAATTCTGCGTACCTACATTGTTTTGTAACCAGCTTTCGAAGGAAAAATTATTTCCAGCAATACATTTTTGAAGGAAAACTTACCAGCAATAGATTTAATAGCAACTATTTTACAAAATATGTCAATGAAATATGATCTACAAATGATTCCTTACAAAGAATACATGCTCTATTCATACGAACCTATCCGAAAAATTTTGTTTGCATTAAATATCCCTTTCAGGTTGATAAACCGTTAAGCTAAATAAACCAAAACAAACCAAATCATATGCAATAATACAATCTTAGAAAATGTTTCTAAATAATATTAGAAAATGCTTACAGAATCTTTAGTTAAAATAATATATTCTTTTAAAAACAATCAGTTTGACTTTTCTTAAGCAGTATATTTTTGTTTATTCAACAAACCATTTAACACACATACCTCAATAAAAAATACTTTCATCGTTGTTGGCCAATAAAGAAAAAAATGAGAATTAGTCGAATTCCAGCGTTTCTCGGTGACACCATAATAATGTCATTATCGACCTCAAGTAGACAACCTTTATCATGAAGCTGATGTGCTTAGAAGGAGTTCAGCTTTAAAATTAGGTCCTATTCCTTCTTTCTTATTGAGAATGTTTTTTAAAAGCTTAAGGGATTCAAATTTAAATCCTGATTTTTACAGTAAAGTTGTGAATATTGTCCTGTGCCTGTCATACAGATTGCAGCATAGACTTTTCGCCCTGGAATTCAACATTAAATACAGATATAAATATAGCTAATATATCTTTAGTAACTTTATTGAAATGATTTTATGGTAATAATTTACAGATTGGAGGAAAACTTTTGGTGAGATTTTTGCCTGTATAAAGACTCAAGTGCTATTCAGAATTAAAGGCTTTCTTGAAAACTAACTTCCTAACATCATGATCAACTTTAATTAGTTGAACATGATGTTAGGAAGTTATAATGTTTTCTGCTTATTACTTGAACGAATACTAATTAATTAGTGTCCGTTTAAGTAATAAGCAGAAAATGTATGGATTTTTGTAGACAGTCTTTCACACTTCTTATTTTATATGTACAGACGTAGTCATTAGCGCTGAGAAAAAGTTATACTTAGTATAGCATAAAGTTAAATAATGAAA